CGGCGGCCTTCCCCGCTTCCCGACCTTCCCAGGACACCGTTGTCCGTCCCCGCCGACGCACCCGAAAGCCCAGCCGAGACCCCAGCGCAAGCTCCACGCCCCGGGCCTTACGCTTATCCTGCCCCTGAGTGACCCTCGGCGGTTATTCCTGAAGACGTGCTCATCGGTCGGGCAGGGAGTGATCGGTCGGTCGGCTACTGGAGCGGTGGGCTGCAGACCTCCTTCTGGGGCACAGGAAAGCAAAGGAGGGCCCTGGGGCAAACCGAAAGGAAAAAAAAGCTGATGGTGGAGAACACCGTAAAGTACTCCAGAAAACTGAGGGAGAGGGGAAAAAGCTAAATGGGCAACTTTTTTGCCCACTGCAAGACAAATGTAGGGCCCTGAGGCTCACCAGAAGACACATGGAGGGCAACCCAAAATGTGAATTGAAGGTTCTAGGCCACACCAAAACACAGAGGCCACAGCGTGCTTCAGAATGTTCTCAAAATCTGAGGACATCAGAAAGCAAACGAGAGAACCTGATGGTGCACTTGGGTGAAAAAGTTGGTTCCTGCAAGGCAAGTGCAAGGCCTTAGGGTGTACAGGAAGGTAAGTGGAAGACTTGCACCTTTATCACCAGTCTACTTGTGGATAAGTCACCATGTAAGACAGTCCCTTCTACCCTGTTAGGACTGGTCCTACCACTCTAACCTCACCTTCATTACTGAATTTCCCATGCAAGGACAGCATGTAAGGTGACACTTTTTAAATAACCAACTTCACTTGCCTTGCTGGATGTGCAGTGGCTGTTGAGTCCTGGGCATTACCAAGGAGGGATATGGATGACAGGACAAGAAGCTCCAGAAAACTTGGGTGAACCTACGTCCTCAGTACTATATGCCGTCCCATTCTCTGCATCTTACGAAAGATAAAGTTTTGAGTTGGAAAGGTAGAAAGCTATCATCTTGTATAAGGTGAGCCTAAATAGGCTGCAGTTTCTAACATCCCTAACAGTGGAGGATATGAGAGGCATGGATTGCAGAAAGAGGTGAGACTTGTGTGCTTCTAAACAGCATCTCCTATTACCACTGTTAGGGACAGACCTATAAGTGCTCAAGCCCAGTAGGAGGCTTTGTATGTTCTTAGGACATGTGGTACAGAGAAGAATGGAATGGAAAAGTGTTAATGTTGACATTGACAGCTTCTGTCTTGTACACCATTCTGCTGAATCAGTTTCTTCATATCATAGTTAGACCTCTTTCTCCACTGAAACAGAAAATGCCAATCCCAGTGGTTGATTCATCCCTGAAATAATTAGGAATGCCATAACTAAGATTGCAGAGGAAAACATATTGGTAAAATTTTGAGTCTCTAAACACAGTATAGCTCAGAAATAAAGACCAAAATTTTATTTCCATGTTGGTAATAAAAATAATTCCATGACTTCTGTAAACCATTGCATAAACACTATAGTGTAGAAAAGTTTTAACAAGTGTTAACAATTTTAAAGAGTTCACTACAAGTAAATGAGTATGCATTAAAAAATGTTTTGTATTAAGAACAAAATCATTTCTGTCTGTACACTCAAAACATCAATGGCTTCCAAAAATTAATATGAGTAAAAATTCTGTATTTATTTAGGGTCTGATGATTACCACAGTTACACAAGCATAGTGTGACAGTAATAATATTACTACCTATATTTAATACTAGGATACTTTGAATGGCAATATAGAACAAAACAACTGTCTTTATCAATTTGCTATTCAAAGAAGACTAATAATAAGCTTATAACATGCAGCTTGGGATCTATCTGTAATTAGCATACTTCTGATCAAATTACAGCTCCTAACTGTAAAAACCTCGAGAAATCACAATTTTAATCTATTATTCCCCAGGCTAAAATAATTGTGACAACATAAATAGCATTCACATTAAAAATTATAGTCTTACATAAATTAACACTTTGTCAGATACCAAAATTATTCTTTAAAATCTGCTTTTATGTATTCTGTGAATCCAGCGAATTACCATACTGTAGTCCTGCTAAAATATAATGCAGCCAGTTTCTAGACAGTGTATATAGTACAAGAACAAATACTTACAAAGGTCAGGTTTTACCTCTGACTTCTTCCAAATAGTCTTCTCTAGTCAACTGCATATATTTTACTATCCTCCATTTTTAAGTACTGGTGTAAAAGTACGTATTTATTTGTATTTGCAGTTGACTTGCTTTAATAAGATACAGAAAACTTTGCTCGTAATTCCTCACAAAAAATATTTTGTGAAGGACGACTGTATTACTTTCATATGACTGCTATGTATGATGATGTATGGTTCAAGTGATTACCTAATGATTTGCCCATAATTATAGCAAGTTGCCCAATCTGAGAATTTCACACATATATATGTTTCTTTGGTATGTGTTTTTTCCTTCTCCACAAAATGGTATGTTGATAGTTTTTAAATGTGTCTGTAATTCAGCACCAAAAAAAATTACAAGGAACACCTGCAAAATTTTCAATACTGATATTACTATAGGGGACACATAATTATTTTCAAGATTCATCACTGTAAAACACAAAACATACAACTTTAAAAAGCAACAGACTAAACAGATTAGTTCGTTTCCTCTAAAATTACAGCACATATAAACTATCAATGTCATGATTTACACTGCAAGTGCTGTTTCCATTCCTTTTTTGTTGGTGTTACAAGATTAGGAAAATCACTAGTTACTACCAAGAAAAAAAAAAAAGACCAAAAAATAGCCCTAGGACATAGGGAAATGCGCTAAAGTACACATGAAGAACTATAAACTTTGACAAGACAGCACAAAATCACACTTCTTTATCTCATGGGTGACAAATGTCACATAGCTGCATATGGGCAGCACCGTGTGGCCTAAGCTGGTTTCTTCTAAAATACCAAAGCAAAAATTTTCACTAAGATATTTGTAAACTTTTTTGTGAGCACAATGGTTGCAGAATGCTTTTCCACACTAGATAAATATAGTAAAAGGGTATCCAAAATAACTGCTTGTTTGAAAAATATGTAACAATTTCAAATTACACTTATGCATTATTCTTTGATTTGATCACTGTTTTTAACAACAAAAAACCCAAACAACCAAAAACAAAACAAAAAAACAAAACACCCCACAACAAACCAAACTTACATAGCTAAGTTAGCTTTAGTCCAAAATACTGTTAAGGTTCAAAAATCAGTCTTTGTTATATACCGCACAGATGCAAAAAAATACATTAATACCTATAGACAAACTTAGTGATCCAAGTTCCTTTTTTTAAAAGTCCAAAGCTGGTTACACTTTTAAAACAGCAGTATCTTATTTTAGGACAGAAAAGTGTGTTTGAAAATGCAAATACAATCCAATTTTATCCTTTTCTCAGTAAAGACATTTTAGAGAAACTGTTAAAGTCAACAAAAATCACATTAGTAAACCCAACTTTGGTCTTCAAAGCCATCTTCAAACAAAATTTTGAAACAGAAACAAGTATAAGTGTATTTAATATTTTATCTTACTTCTCCCTTCCCAAAAGGTCTCCAACACTCCTGCAGATCGACATGTCTTAGGACAGCAGCAACAAGTCTGTATGTTTAGTTCTCATAGAAAATGTGTAATGCTTCTTTGCTAACACAAGCCTTTGTACAAAGAACACTAAAACCCAAAGGAGACAGTGCTTTCAGTACTATTGGCTTGGGCCCTTTATTTTATGCTGACACAGTTCTAAAAGCTCCATCTTGGCAATAATAATTTTAGTATACATCTTGGTTTTTGTTTTAGCATGACTGAACTTTACATAGATTAACTCTTTGCTGCCTGCGTAAACTCACTTTTTGTACTAAATACAGTAATATGGAGGTACAAATCATGTAACACAGTAGTAGGTCATTTCAATCTAAGTTGTACTAGTGTCACACCAGAATTTAACAGAAAAAGGAGTAATGCAGGCAATTACTCCATGTAAGAAAAGTAAAAACACAGTGATAACATGCAATAATTAACTTCTCCTGAATTGCATGTTCCCAACTACCAGGATGAAGTAAGGATATTACCACCTTTTAAAAGAATCACTGTGTCAAAGTGCCACTGACTGATTACGTACATAAATAATTTTGTAGTTCCTTTCAAACATGCGTTACTTCATTACTGAAAAAGTGTATTTTTAAATATTTATAAAAGCAAGAGATGTATTACAATTATTGTCAAATTGTTCAATATAAAATTAAGTAATAGAAATTATTTGCAAAATATTTTTTTTTATGTCTTATGCCATTTTATAGGATATTTGGCATAGGCACTTGGTAATATTATATATCATATCTGCTCCCAGGGAGTACCAGACAGGTTAGGAGACGGACAAAAACTTTAAGACTACAGACATCCAAACTGAGGGAAATATGCAATTGCACAGTTATTTACTAAAACTTACCTGTTTCACAAAATTGAAAACATGTCTTTGATTATGAAAGCATATGTGCCTCACTGTTTTTGTCTCCACTCTACAAGTATAAATACTATAGTATGCAGTTAACTTATAAATTGTAAAAAAAACCTAGGTAAGTTGTAATTTCTATTTAATCATACTGTGATTTAACAGTAAAACTATGTGAAATATTTGAAATTCAAAGTACACGTACAACACATCATATTATTGCATATTAAAAGATAAACATAAGACCTAGAGAGCAGCTTGAAGCAATTTACAACATATCTTCTAACAAAACACAATATTTAAAAAGTGCTTTTATATTAATCAGAGTTTTTCAAACATCCAAGTAAAGATAGTGTTAGCGCGATTCCAAAATACTGGCTCTGTCATTCCACACACAACAGACATGGCAAAAGAACCATTTGTACTGTTGAATATGTAGTTACTGTATCTATGTATCCATCTTCTGTTAATGAAAATTAACAGGTATGAACACTTCAATCAGGCATTATGGTAAGATTTACACAAAGTGATTACAGTGCAAATGAACCTAAGTAGATTGAGCACTAGGAATGTAAGTGGAAGTCAGAAAAGGCTGCAATAGGATTGGAGGGGAGTAAAAGTACCTCGACTATAGAACAATATATAGTCAACAAATGACTGAAGTTGATACGTAAAGGTGAGCAAGCCTTATTCTCTATCTTAAAGCAACTAGGTTACTCACATAAAAATGGAAGTCAGTCTAGCACTATTAAGTGGATAAATTATGAGTGATATAATTATTATACAAAACCATAAAATTATTTAATTCATAAACGTAATACAAGTATTATGCCTGTATGTTACCACACATTTGTTTTTTTCTTGCAGCAGGGACATTCTTTTTGTGCAGCCGCACAGTGATCACAAAGTACATAATGTTGACACGGATTCAGGATAATGCTATGATCACCTTCCTGACATACGATACACTTCTTTGACTGAAGCTGAAAAATCACCTGTAAAAAGATTATTGCACTCAGTAAAAACAATTCCAAAGTTTACAGTTGCATTTTAGCAACTTTACACTTCTCTGTCCCCCCAAAATTTCCAATTTAACAACACAAAGGACAATGTTTTTATATGACAGAGAGCTGAATTGAGGGTCATAAGATCAGAGCATGCACAATCTTTAAGGTAGCAGTTGGAGGAGTACAGGTGCTTTTAGAAAGAGATACCTAGGATTGAACCTTTGGACTGGAATTTTCCTGCATAATTGGGATAAGTGATGCAAACAAGCATAAACAACAAAAAAAGAGGAAACAAGTGTTTTTCATTCACATATACTCCCTGATTTTGCCATTTCAAACCACTGCTACATCTTATGCCATGGGAGAAGTTCACATATGGACAAAATGGAAGCATCCTAAATGTGTGATACTTTGGATAACTCTACTGATACAGACTTCAAGGAGGATGTTACAACTGCAAATAAATGTATTAATGTCATAAGCCTTATCAACCCTATTAAGGAACAAGAAGAATTGAAAAGTATCTAAAAACAATGTTAATTTTTGAAAAGTAAGAATTGGTTTGGACTAAGAGAAGAATCCAGAATACTATATGTGGCACTGCCTAAGACAGCAACTTTCTCCTGGAAGGAAGAGCTAGGTGAGAAGAGGCTACGGTGGTAAAGGCAACCTGAGAAACTGAGGAGCTGGAAAAGGTGGTCATGATTCTGATCACTCCAGCCTGGCTGAGATTACTTCCATTCCAGGATGTAATGACTTTTTTTGGTAAGAGATCCCAAGACTCTTTTGCTCTTCTTTAAAATCCCTTAGGAGAAAACCAATAGTGGTCCCTAATTCAATCCAGAATCCTGTAAATGTACTTGAAAACAGGAGCCTGCTAACTAGCAAGTCTCATCCTTGTCCACCTCCTTTGTTGACAAAGACTTAAATAACATTTTAAACTCTTCTAAAGAGACCCTGGCTTTTTTTTTTTCTTTTTTTTTTTTTTTCTCCAAAGCCGTAGTTCAAACTGATACAGATGACACTGGACAGGAGGTGCACTGAGACAGAGAAGACACTGTTGAACTCCAACAGGTACTAGAGTATGGCAGATTGTCCCAGTAGTGAAAGGAAATCTTTTTTTTTTTTTTTTTTTTGTCTGGACAGTCCCATCACAGTCAACACAAACCAGCAAGAAATGGTGTCATATGTGGAGTCACTGCCTTTTGAGATTGCAGGGGAGAAAGCATGTGAAACCAAGGTGTGCCTGGCAAGGTTTGAAGTATGGTGGCTGGCACAGTGCGTGGTCATTATTATCCTCCTTGATGTGCTCAGAGGAGTGGCACCTGATATTCCCAGCTTTGAGAGCCCTGAGAAATACCTTCAATTTGGCAGTGAAACAGCATCCTAAATTTTGGCAGAAACTGAGTCTGGATTTGAGAGAAGGTGAAATACACCAATATACCACTAAGGTGACTAAGGAACTGAAGCATTTGACATACAAGGAGAGACTAAAAGAGCTGGGATTCTTTACCGTTGAGAAGGGATGGCATCTTACTGGTGTGTATAAATACCTGATGGGAGGGAGTAAAACAGATAGGGACAGATTCTTCTCAGTGGTATCCAGTGAAAGAAGAGGCAACAGGCACAAATTAAAATACGGAAAATTCCACATAGACATAAGAAAAAACTTTTCATAGTGTGAGGATGGTCAAACACTGGAAAAGGTTGTCCACAGAAGTGGTGGACTCTCCATCCTTGGAGATACTGAAAACACCACCAGGTGAAGCCCTGAGCAACCTGCTCGAGTTGACCCTGCTTTGAGCAGGGGCTTGGACTGGATGATCTCCAGAGATCCCTTCTAATGTCAATGATTGTATGCTCCAAATCTGTACTAGCCTCTCTGACTACACAAACTCCTAGCAGGGAACCTCACCACCTACCTTCTAAACAAGTGAAAAACACGTAACTATTTTCATTTATTTAGGGCAACTATTTTTATTTAGGTAGTACCCAAAACATTTGAGGGTAAAAGCTGGCTTTAAATCTTTTTCTTTAATCACCTCAAGAATTCTTGTGAATCACAGAATGTTAGGGATTGGAAGGGACCTCAAAAGATCATCTAGTCCAATCCCCCTGCTGGAGCAGGAACCTAAATGAGATCACACAGGAAGGCGTCCAGGCGGGTCTTGAACATCTCCAGAGAAGGAGACTCCACAACCTCCCTGGACAGCCTGTCCCAGGGCTCTGTCACCCTCACCATAAAGAAGTTTTTTCTCACGTTTAAGCGGAACCTCCTGTTTTCCAGCTTACAACCATTGCCCACTTGTAATTTGTTCTGATAGTTGATCAGAAACTTAGAAGAATCTATTAGGTTGAGAAATCTAAACCATCCTCCATTCCAGAACAGAAAGACTTAACATTGAGAGCGATGTTGCTCTTTAAAATGAAACCTGGCATAAGTATGTCACTGAAGGTTATTGAGCTGCCAGTTTCAGTTAATCAAAAATAGTTAGTTACGCAGATGAAGAAACTCACCTCATCTACTGTTTCTAAATCTAAGTGCAGCTGATTTTGTAAGAAACGAAGCTTTGGCAAGGATATCTTTTCTATATCTCCATAGTTTTTCATATAAGGTAATGTAGTAGATACACAAGCAGTTAATTGTGCTTTCAGCTTTTTAAATTTTTTTTCCACTTCCTCTTTCTTCTGAAGAGCGAGTTCTTTGTCTGCATCTGCGATATTAGCACGTTCTTTTGCTTCTTGAGCCTCTTTCTGCCATGCATCACACGCCTGGGAGAACGAGATTTCCAGAATATAAAAAATAATTTTTTAAAAATTAACAACAGAAGAGCAGATTCAAAAGTCTTTAAAGATGCAGGTAGTATCTAATTTTAGACATAACAATGCATTTACTGTCAATTTAACGCTTCTCCCTACCTATCCTACCTTCTAATTAACAACTCTTCTTGTTTTGTCTTAATGTAATTTTTAGGTATGTCACTGTTACTTATGTGTAAACAGCCAGAAGCCTTTTTGGAGCTCTATAAAGGGAACACATCTTAAATGTTAAATTCATAATTTAATGTCAAGAGACATCAAAAACTTTCAAAATTTAGTAGAGCTACTTAGCTACCCCTTAGCTCTTCCTCTTTCTCCGTTTGTCACAGAGAGAACAACATGAGGGGAAGGAAAGAACTACAGAAAACGCACTAGACTGGCAGTTATCAACAACTTCAGTTTGACTTTTGAGATGGCTAGATATTGTCCAGCTACGCTATACAACCACAGCTGCTGGCAAGCCTGTACTTTTTTTGCATACTTATAATGTGAAAGAGGTATGGGAGGGAATGTATGTCTTTAGTAACTTAAATGTCAAGATATGTTGCTGTTCAGCCCTATCCTGAGTATGTGTAAGTGTCCCTGTCTAAAGAGGCAGATCAACTTTCAGAAAATGAACTGTCCTTTAAAAAGCTCAGTTTCCTTTATTCTGCTGTCTCATTTTGAGGATGGAAAAAACATTTGACAGACTGTAGTAAAACTGTGGGTCCAAGGATAAGAAGATATATAAAAAGGAAAAGCAGTAGGAGCTGCTTGTTTGTTTTTAAAAAAAAAACAAAACATAAATTAGCATACCTGTTTTACTTGTTGCCAATATTCTTCCCATTGTTTTAGTTTTCTCTTGGCATCATCAAGTTCCTGTCTAACTCGAGTCAGTTCATTCCCACTGGTGTTTGAACTTATTGAGGGGGTAGTGCCACTGCTTAGTACTGGGGATGGACTAGGAGAGAAACTCCCAGTTACAAAGTCCCAAATGCTCCCTGTAACACCATTTAAACCTGTAAAACAAAGGCAGAAAAATAATCATTCTGCACACACTGCTGCAAAATGTTTAACATGAAGAAAAAATAGATGTGCCATATAACGCAAAATTTATACTTTTATCTGCAAAACTCATAACATTATTTCACTACCTTTAGAAATGTAAGAGTCTGGAAAATGTTTACAGTATTTAGAACAATTCAGGAGACTTACCATGTGTTTTTTCTTGCTGCTTTTAATAAAAGACAGTATATATACAAAAACAATATACAAAAAGCTTTGGTCCTAGCAGCTCATACCTCATTTTAATTCTTCCTCTTTCTCTGTTTTGTATTTTCCTTTAGCAAAATGCTGCAGCTAAAATGCATTCC